GCTTGGCAGGAGTCTCCTACTTATCAGCTCCGAGTCTGGCTCCAGCTCCATGGTGCAGCGGGCAGGGACTGCCCGAATTGTCAAAGCTCTCTGAATCTCTTCTGAATCAATTTGGAGAGCTTTGAATCAATTCAGACCTTTATATTGGACCCCTAATTCGATTCCAGTTTGGAGATTCAGCCACCAAATTGGGCCGAATCTCCTGCAAATTGAATCAACACCCGAAGTTTCACACAGCCCTACTGCCTACTGGCTAGCCCCATACTGAAGTACCCTTGTGTCTGATCCAGCTCCTCTGCAGCACATTAAGCCAGGTCAGAGCAGCCCTAGGCTGGCCCCTGGGGCTCCCTGCTAGCTGGGGCAGCTCTGCCTCAGCTTGATGTGCTGTGGTACAGGGCATATGTGCAAATGGCATGCCCAGGAGCAAGAAACTCTGAAACAAACTGTGCTTGAGTTTATTCAGCCATGCTAATTCACGTGTAGATGCGCCTAGTGAAGATGCAATTGCTGCAAGACCAGTCTCCTGATCAACAGAAAAGTATAAACATTTATTTTGATGATGATGGCTAACAAATAACTGAGACTGGTTATCTAAGGTTTGGAAATCTATCACTATCAAATCCTGATAGTTTTCAGCCCTTTCCAAAGGAAACACAATCAAGCAGTAAAAAATCAACTGGAGAGTTGGACTGCAGCATTTACAACGTGTGCAGCACTGCATCAGAGGTTTTACGTTTGATAAAATACGGGGCAGGATCCTTGCCACCTGCTGAAATCTCTTGGGATTCCTCTGCACTGAGGTGTCAGCAGGCCACAGCAACAGTCCTGAGCAATGTCATTGCTTGCTCTCAGTTGCACGAGCCAAGCCTGGAAGCAGTGATTTTCTATCCTTCACATTTGAGAAGAAAGCTTGAAAAAGGAGGGAACCCTGGTTTCACAGATGAGCAACAAATAAAAAAAGCCACAAAGTTTATACAGTGGTAAAATCTCATGATTTTTAAGACAATCTCATGACTTTTAGGGCCCGAGTCCTGCTTTTATTGTTTATTTTGTTGAGGTGCAGCGATGAGTGATCCAGCTGGTACGTAACCAGAGGGAGAAGCCATGCACATTGCAGCCAGCACAGTGTAGGCTTGGGATGCACTACAAAGCTTTGCTGGCATAGCCATGTTGGCTGGGGGTATGAAAAGATGCTAGCAAAACTCCTGGTGTGGACACAGCTCCGGTAACAACAGAGGGTTTTTGTTGGTTTAGTTTATGTCAGTCGGGGAGGTAGTGTAGCTATAGCAGGCAAAAAAACCAAACAAAACTCACCTCATGTTTTCCCAGGCAGCTCTGGATGTTTAATCTGCAAATGTTCCTTTAAAAGATCTGCTTGTTTTATTTTGGCTGTAGAATAACAACATATGCGATAGGGAAAGTTTTATTCAAATTTAAACAATTCTGGGAAGTGCAGTGAAAAAATACAGCAACCCCTGGTTGGAGTTCTTAAGAGAAACGTGACCTTTTCCCTTGATTCCTAAATGATTTTTTTAATAGTTACAATAATAAGCTTTGAGCATCTGAGAAAGGCACAGGACTGGGAGATGGTACATGTTTGCAGAAGGCCTGGTAGATTGTGTCATTTCCTTCCTATTCTCCTCTTGTGCCTAACAGAACACAAATATCTGGAAAAATACCATTGCGTTGAACAAAATCTTAAAGAAAATCCTAATGGGTGATTTTTCTTTCCTCCTCAAAAACCACCTTTTGTTTTCGCTCAAGCTCTTGCAAGGGAAATGGGTAATACACTTGATGTTAGCCAAAAGACCAAGAAGCAACAATAACAGTAGATTCACACAGCCTGCTAGAGTCAGGAGAAAGCGGCACATTTTCAAAGCAAGTGAAACCTTGACCAAAACCTAGACAAATACAAAATTGTACCATGAAGAAGAGTATAAAATAGGGCAAGAGGCTGCCACTGAACCTAAACTAATGCTTAAGATAAAATAGTTGACCAGAGAAATTACCAAGTAATCTTCATCTGAGCATTTGCAGCCTCCATTTGATTTTCATAAAATATATTGAGGGGGAAATCCCAGAGTTCTGCCTTTTGCTGTGCTATGTGTAATCCATACCCTCTGTACGATGCTCTGTTCCCCTTCTAGTGGTAGCTGTCATGCCTACAGATTGAGCCTGATACAGGGCACATATTTTAGCTCAAGTAGTAGAAACACACATTTTACACAAGCTAGCAATTTCAGGTTCAATAACTTCTGTTGAGGAGTCTCCTGTGGTTCAGAGGTAGGATCCTTACCTACCACACAGAAGACCTGGGTTTGATTCCTAGGCACTTATACAACTATAGCCATGGAGGTCTTTGGATTCTGTCTCAGTGGCCTAAGGGGAGGATGGAAGGTCTGGGTAGCCCCCAGTCCTCCAAAAATTCCTGGGTGGCTCTCATGGATACACCATGATCCCGAAGGATTGATGCTTGCCACCATCAACTGTTGACATCCACCCAGGCATGCAGCATAGACATTGAATGGAAAGCCTAAAGCATGAAATAATAAAGAAGCCAGTTCTG